GTTCACAATTTCAGAGAGAGGGTTGAACTCTGAGACGTCGGGACGATACGGCAAAAGGGTGTCAAGGGTGGAGCATGGCTCACGCCCATATAGAAGAAAGAAAGGCGAGAAGCCTGTGGTTGACTGCGTCGCGGTGTTGTACGCATAAGTCAAAAATGGAAGAATAACAACCCAGTTCGATTGGTCGGAATTGACATACATGGCGAGCATGTCTCCTAGCGTTCGGTTGAAGCGCTCAGTTAGACCGTTGGTCTGCGGGTGGTAGGCTGTTGAGGTGCGGTGCACCGTGCGGCGCGCCCGAAGGAGTTGTTGTACAACTTCGGATAAAAAGACACGCCCTCAATCACTCAGCAGTTTACGTGGTGCCCCATGACGCAGTACGAAGCGTCGCAAGACGAAACTGGCTACGTCACGTGCACCAGCCGTAGGTAGTGGAGCTGTTTCAGCATACCTCGTCAGATGGTCGACCGCGACAATGATCCATTGATTTCCAGTGGCAGTGTATGGAGGGGGACCATACAAATCAATTCCAACGCGGTCGAAAGAGCGCGCCGGACGTGGTAGAGGCTGTAATAATCCGGGTGAATGGGCCGCTGTCTTTCGTCGTTGGCATAATGAACAGGACAGAATGTATTTTTGTACAAAGGTGTACATACCACGCCAGTAGTAACGCTGGCGGATCCGGTGATATGTTTTCAACACACCAGCGTGAGCATGTTGTGGGTCGGCATGAAAATACGCACAGATATCAGATCGCATGTGGCGTGGTATAACCAAGAGCCATTTACGGCCATCCGCATGGTAGTTTCTGCGGTATAGTTGCGCATCCCGTATCTCGAAATGTGTGGCTTGGCGGCGAAGAGCGCGTGGGTACGCAGACGATGAGGAGTCGGAAAGAATGTTGAGGAGAGATTTTATCCATGGATCTTTCTGCTGTTCAGACGACATGCTTGAGACGGAAATGGGAGCGATGGGAAAGTTGGCGTCCGAATGCAGGTCTGCGCTGGATTTCACTGGTGATCGTGAGAGGGCGTCCGCATCAGAGTGTTTTCTTCCTGAGCGGTAGACGACACGAATGTCGAACTCTTGTAGGCGAAGAGCCCAACGTCCAAGGCGACCTGAAGGATCTTTTAGCGACGCCAACCAACAAAGTGCGTGGTCGTCTGTCACAACGTCGAAACTCTGTCCGTACGAGTAAGGACGAAACTTGCTCAATGCCCAAACGATTGCGAGGCACTCTTTTTCAGTTACGGAATAGTTCATTTCCGCTTTCGTGAGTGCGCGGCTTGCATATGCGACGACGTACTCTGGAATACCGGGCTTTCGTTGCGCGAGTACGGCTCCTAGGCCAACGCCACTGGCGTCTGTGTGCACTTCAGTGGGGGCACTTGGATCGTAATGGCGTAGAATGGGTGGCGACGTAAGTAGGTGGCGCAGTGTAAGGAAGGCTTCGTCACATGCCGGGGTCCAGTTGGAAAGATTAGCTGGACCATTCAGTAGTTGCGTAAGTGGGACTATTATTGATGCAAAGTTGTGGACGAAACGGCGAAAATACGAGCACAAGCCGATGAAGCTCCTAAGTTCTTTGAGTGAAGTCGGCTTCGGAAAGTTGGCTACGGCTCGAAGTTTGTCCAGGTCAGGGCAAATTCCATCCTTTGACACAACGTGACCAAGTATAGTAAGTTGGCGAGCCCCAAAGCGGCACTTCTTTAGGTTAAGCTGGAGGTTTGCCTTAGTAAGGCACTGAAAAATTGTGCGCAGACGGTCGACGTGGGTAGGGAAATCAGGAGAAAATACGACAACATCATCAAGGTAGCATAAGCATATCTGCCATTTAAGGCCGCGTAAAACGCTGTCCATCATTCGTTCAAACGTTGCAGGTGCATTGCATAGACAGAATGGCATAACCGTGAATTCGTATAGGCCATCCAGCGTAACAAACGCTGTTTTGGGACGGTCACACTCTGCCATGGGAACCTGCCAATAACCTGAACGTAAGTCCAGCGAAGAAAAGAATTCGGCACCTTGTAGGCAATCGATAGCGTCGTCGATGCGGGGAAGAGGGTACACATCTTTCCGTGTAATTTTGTTCAGTCGCTGATAGTCGACACAAAATCTAATTGAACCATCTTTTTTCTTCACTAGCACAACAGGTGAAGACCAGGGGCTAGAAGATGGCTTGATGACACCGCGCTGAAGCATATCGTCCACGTGCTCTGCAATTACACTTCGTTCCTTGGGTGATACGCGGTAGGAGCGTTGCCGCAAAGGAGGGTGCGTTCCAGTGTAGATTGTGTGAGCGACGGTGTTAGTTTGACTCAGTGCCTTTTGAGGAAGGTCAAATGAATCACGGAAATCATGCAGAAGGTTTATTAGCTGGTTCCGTTGATCCAGAGGAAGCTTGCTGTCGATCGAACGATCGAAGATATCCGAGGAGTAGTCATCCCGCGTAAAAGGAGGAGTAACAGCGTTCAGTTGAAGTTGCTGGCCAGTGTCGTGGGACTCAATAGGCACAATAACGTTGTCATCAACAAGAAGAACATAGCCCAGTGTTTCGTGAGCTCTTAAGGTGAGAGGGCATGAGCTAGGATTGCAAACGACAATTCCGGAAGCATCTTGGTGAGGTGGCAGAACGGCGTATGGCAGAGACGTACCGTGGAGGCGACTGAAAACGTCAGATGTGGAGAACACAACGGTAGAGCAGGAAAATTCAGTGCGATTGACGGGGACAACGATGGCACTAAGAGGGGGAACATCTATGTCGGAAGCAACAAGAAGCTTGCCAAGGTGAGTGAGCTCATTGTCGGTAGATGGCGAATCAGAAAACACAGAAAATTCCACCTTCGCGCGAGCGCAGTCAATTACGGCATGGTGGCGTGACAAAAAATCCCATCCAAGTATCACATCGTGGGAACAAGTGGCCAACACGAGAAACTCGATGTGGTACAGGACGTCCTGAATGATTACTCTCGCTGTACATGCTCCGACTGGTCGAATGGGTTGCGTGCTCGCGGTATTCAGCAATACGTCGGAAGGCGGCGTCGTTACTTTTCGTATCGAACGGCAGAGTTTTTGACTCATCACAGATACGGCGGCACCCGTGTCAACAAGCGCAAGAGTTCGTAGACCTTCAACAAACAGTTCCAGAACGTTTGTGGGGGACGGCCAAGGACTTCTACAATGCGACGACTTCGCAGCTCGTGCCTCCGGAGCTGCGGCAGTCAGTTTTCCGTCTCTACGGGGTTTGGTCGGCGACGCAGCGGGGACGGAGAACGGTAGCGGCGTGGTGAGGATGAGCGACGGGGACCGAATGGTCGGTAGTTGGCAGCAGGGTGGTGGTCTAGTTCGGATGGGGACGGGTCGCGTTGCACTGATTGACGGTCGTATTGACGGGGCATTTCTCGTTGCGCGTTGTACGGGGCCGGGAAAGAGTCGTCAGAGTACCTCGGTGCTGCAGCCGGGCCCGTTGCGAAGCGCCGGCGACAGAAGCGCGCCACGTGACCTGGATATCCGCATGCATAGCAGATTGGACGATCGTCAACTGTGCGCCAAGGGTTTTCGTTATAGCGTTGTTGTGTTGCTGGAACTGGCGTCGTTGGTACTCGTAGAGGCTGGGGAGTCGGCCGAAGTGGAGGTCGTGGTGAAGTAGCAGCAACAGCAGCGTAAGTCAATGGCGCGGTGACAGGTGTTGTCTGAGAGACGGCCGGCAGTGCCTCAGAGACCTGCGCCTGTATTACCTGTCTGATGGTGGGCGTGAGACGCTCAGAAGAGGGTTCCGATGCCGGTTGATACGACAGACACGAAAGTTGTCGGGCCACCTCCTCGCGCACATATCGTTTGATTTCCGACATGATTGTGTTGTGGTCTCCACCTAGGGTCAATGCCGTGAGAGTTTCGTCGGTAGCCGCTGGCCGCCGTGTCATGACCCGTTGTTTGCACAATTCCTCGAAGCTCTGGCAAAGAGTGGCGAGTTCAGACACGGAACGGGGGCTCTTGGCCAGCAGCATCTGGAAGGCGTCGTCGTCTATCCCCTTCGAGATGTGTTTGATCTTGTCCGCCTCGATAATTGAAGGGTCAAGGCGCTTGCACAAGTCGAGCACATCTTCGATGTAGCTTGTGAAGCCTTCCCCCTGAAGCTGTGCGCGTCCCCGTAGACGCTGTTCGGCACGGAGCTTGCGTACCTCGGGGCGACCGAATACATCGGTAATGCGCAGCTTAAAAGCACCCCAAGTGGCGAATTCCGAGTGGTGGTTGTTAAACCAGAGACTCGCTACCTCTTTCAGGTAGAAGAGTACATATTGCAGCTTCGATGTGTCGTCCCACTTGTTGCGTGCGCCTACCTTTTCAAATGTCGACAGCCAATCTTCTACGTCTTGCTCATCGGTACCGTCGAAAAAAGGTGGATCGCGCACGCGTAGCGCAGTGGGCACGATGACCATCGGAGGCTGGGTCGTACCTTGCTGGGTGGTTTCTTCAGCCATTTCTGGAATGGCAGGTAGTTTCCTGTTGCGGAGTTCCAGGTTGAAATACCCCGCACCTCCACCACTCTGAAACGCGGTTTATTGGCACAAGTAGTACTTGCACAGCAGGTATATTGATGAAGAAAGCGGGCGGCAGCAACGGACTCAGAAATTACAGCCCTTGGGGGAAACGCTCGCGCTTGGATCCTGCACATAATCTTCTTCCTCTCTACAAAAGTAATGATTCTATCAGACCACGGTTCATCGAGCGTGCTCCTATTAGTAGACATTTTTATCCTTTATATTGATGAAGAAGACCAGTAAAGCATTCGCAGAAAAACAAAATGATTCATGAAAAACCACGTTAATGTGTTTGTTTAAGACAAGTTTGTGCCATCTGTGCAATGTTTTCAGACTGCTGGTATAGTATGTAAGAATAAACTAGAATGAAGCAATATATAAAACAATATTCAGTTCTTTTTTATAATTATTTGACTGATTGACTTTCGTTGGTATATTTATTGATGAATCTCTTTTCAGACTCCGTATTATCCGGACGGAGGAACAACACCAGTGCCACCCTTCTATCCGGGGATCCGCTATCCCGTTGAGGTACGCTTTTGTGCTTCCAGCTAGCTCATGCAGGTGTGCGTGAATTTTTCTCGAACCATTTCGGAGCTCATCACCGCTATTTTAGCAGATACAGAGAATGATGAGCCTTCGAAACTTCACATCGGACAAAAGACGTACACCTTGTATGGTCAAACTTGTTTGGTGTCATATTAGTATAATTCGGATTGCCTCCCGAAGCACCTTTCACAAGAACGGGAAATACAAATAAGTAATTTGAGAAACTGATGCCAAGAGCGCAACATCGGAAGAAATCTGCAAGAGAGGCAGTGGCGCTAGTTCTATGGAAGTAACCATGTGTTGTATGCCATTTGGTATAATAAAAATGAAGTTTAAAAAAGTAGTAGTCCTTGTCAAATATATACAAGGTGATTTTTTATAGAATGCAGAGATTTTCTAAAACTCACGTAAGGCTCCTCTAGCTCTTACAGAAAAACTTTACGTAAAGGCAAAATACTTCGCCGCCTCTAAAATGGCACTGAAGTGGCATTTTATGGCACGAAAACCACCTTGAATGACTCTTGCATAAATTGTGAATGGCAGGGGCTCCACAGTTCGGGGGGTGGTGCCTAATTAAATATACTTGTGTATTTCACAATATTTGCCAATTTTTTACCGAGTTATGCTCCAGCTCACCTTGATGAAAACTTCTTCACTTCGTTGCACCGTACAGTTCCGGTAGTTACGGTCTTACGTGATAGGAATGCCATGTTTCCTGTGCGCAGGGCACGGTCAATTTCGGTAGCACCCTTAAATTTCGATGACGAATGTCAAACAGCCTGCGAGTATTGTGGTTTCTAAAAAGTAGCAATGCTATAAACAGGTACACTAAAACTTTGTAATGTAAACTACTGCCCTGAAATCAAAACTAAATAGTTATTTAATGACAGTTTGTTATTTAGTCACGCCAATGTCATTTTAGTTGAGGCAAACTATTTCCACCTTGACATAAAGGTCGTTTGTGAAAACTACAGAAGTCTGACTTTCTTACAAGTCTGGTAAAATATCTGTATTGTCTCAAGATAGAAGTGAAGACCTCAAAAAGGCTAACTAGAAAGGCTCACATCGGCTGAAAACAAGGTAAACTTTTTTTTGCGCATGCCCTGAGAAAAGGAGATGATGATCTGGCACGTGGGGAGGGGGGGGGGGGGGTCTACATGACACATACTTATTCGGGTAATGATTTCACCTTTACGCATGTTAATTATTGATTCACTCACGTATGCGCTACCTCTATTATTGTTATGCCAGCCCTCAACCATTACACGCGTTTCTTTATTCCTGTGTCTCTTCGCAAGTGCGCATTTATCGATATTAGATGTGCATTTCCATACTCTACGATGCAGATATCTATAAGATGGTGTGCCTCCGGTTAGCGATCTCTTATATTCCAGTAATATCTGGTTAACACCTGGATTCTCTGAAAACTCTAGATTGACATCATTTGCCTGGGTATGCATAAATAAGTTTTCGTGCCTACCTCCTTTTCCACCTCTGTGCGCCTTTTCGGTGGTTTGCGAGTATTTGGGTGCCTCAATTCTCTGTTGTGTCCACGGTTAGATGCTTTGTCTTTATCCTAAATATAAGGAAACTAGCTCAGCTCTTTATTATTATAAACTTTATGTCTAGTATTTTGCCATGTCCTACTGAACTGAACAATCCTGTTAATTTGGCTTCTTTAACTGTCATTCGTTTGTTGCGGGCTAGGACTGTCGCGGTTTTCTAAGAACTTAGTTCACCAACCTGAAGTTCAAGTTTTGTGCGCCTGTTTGGAACCATTTACCGAGCATACCAGGAGGATCTGAGCCATACTTACCGTGGAATCCTGGCGTCAGGCTAGCTTCTATCAGAAATTGCTAAAGATCCGTTGCTCTACATGGCGTGATGTTAGCGGCCAGAAGCAGCTGCACGCCAATCAGATGAATCCAGCATGCGGAATTTTCGGGGGGGTGGAACTTTGTGACCCTGTAAGAAAAATATTTTCTTTTTTACTATTCACTGCCAAATAACTTGCTCGTCCTCTGAGGAGCTGTCTTAAATGACAGTCACTACAAAACCCCACCCTTATATCCAAAAATATTTTGTTTACACCTAACCTAAAATTAAGAGCTCTAAATGTTTCAAGCCAGCATGCCATGCAGTATTACTAGGAGCAATCTTTCATCGCATTTCCGATTGAATAGTGAACATCAATGGATGTAATGTGTAGCTTAACACAACTGATCCTATCCAGCCTTTGGTCAATTAATTTGAAAAAGTTTAATACCGGTGTCACACTGGCACTTGTAATCGCGATCAGGGCAATCCGGATGAGTTCTCTTGATCGCGATCAACTTTATCACCGCTGCTACACGGCCCAAGCTAATCCTGTTCGAGCTTGGGTCAGATGAAATGCCCCAGGTGGCGTTTGCGTGCCGTAAAACATGCCACTGACAAAACTCGACGTACGGTATATCTATAGAGTCATTTATCAGCAATGTTATTCGTGCAAGAACCGCTCGAACGTCAAAAGCTTTGCAGGCCACTGCGATAGTAATTTTATAAGTCCATCACTCAATAAAATTTTCCTAGCACTTATTTGTATTGCAGTGTGAGTTTCTTAACCTTCACTTTTTTTTTCTGATGGCCCCCGCTCGTAGCCGTGTAGTCACCGCGGAGCGCCAATCTCATTGTACGCGCCACTGTTTCACTTCTGGCGCCTGAAGTCTGTTCCAGCCGTTCCTGCCAGTGGTCAATTACTGTAAAGATATCTTCCTTCGACCACGAAGTGCGCGTACGTTGCGGCGTATCGAAAGGCTTGCGACACTCATAATCAGTTTGCTTCGAGGTGCTCCAACAGCTCCGACGGAGCGAGAGTTGAACTAAGCGCTGAAGGCAACGGTTGACTGCATGTCGTCTGCATGCTTGCTGTCTGCTTCTCCCATAACTACATGCGGTCAATGCGAATCTTAAAATATGCAATACTTTAGATATTTTTTCAATTTACACAGTTTATAATTTGCTTTTTTATAAACAACTAGCTGTTTCAAAGCGTTTTTATCGAACTATGCTCAATTTTCTTGTTTATTGTGCTTTCAACAAGCTCAGCTAGCGAGTGCACACGGCAGCAAAATCGCGATCTCTCAGGCAGATCATGATGCGCCGATCGCGATAGTCTTGATCCTGATCACACCTGATTGTGATTAAAAGTGACCGTGTAGCAGCACCTAATCTGGATCGTTATTCATCCGGATCGACATTGATCGCGATTAAATGTGCCCGTGTGACACCGGTATAAGCCAGTAACACCTGACCGGGAAGGGTGTATTTCAATTACGCCGGGCAGTGCGTTCTTAGAGAAAGCATCAACAACTGTACAAGAATATAAAGGCAATAAAGCTTAAACAATACTGAAAGTTGGGCTAGTTAGTCGTACTTCATAATGAAACGGCAGAGTGACTACACACGGAGAGGAAAGGAAGGCACACGAAACACACGGCTAAACTCAACACTAAATCTCTTTATTCAAGAAAACGACACTTACAAAAACAACCACAGTGAGCTTCCCGCATGTGCAAACTGATAGAACGCAGATATCATTGCGTATGAACAAAAATCCAAACTAAGACACACAAAAACCCATGTGCAACAAATTCACATTTACTGGTTTAAACTTTTTTTAGACCAGTGGACACGTGACTTTGATGTACCTATTTTTTCACGTACTTTTTGGGAATAATTTATAGTCACGTCTTTGTTTATCATCTGTTTACGCTGTTACAATAAGCAGATTTTTCAACTCACAATTTTTTTTTTATTCTGAAGAGGGGGGAAGGAACACCTTTTGAAAGCCTTGAAAAACGTCTGTTTTTATTATGTTCTCGGTGAAACACCCCCTTCATCTCAATTTCAAAAGGGGGGAGGCTGCGATACTCTCCCTGGATATGGGCCTGCTATAGGCAATAAATAATGGCATACTGTATGCAGTTCTGCAACGCTGTCTTTTACTAGAGTGGTTAAGCGGGAAGGTATTGGCATTGCTAATAACACGTTCTAAAATCTCTACGCATTTACGCTTTTATCTTCAGGGTCCTCCGGGTCCTCAGGGCCTACCCGGTCCTCCTGGATTTCCCGGACTTAAAGGAGACAAGGTGAGGAAAGCACAGGGAAGTGCCGGGTCTGTGCTTGCACCAGCGGCACTCTGCTCCAACTTGATTTGCGATGTGCTTGATTTTTTTATTCATATTCAGATTTTTTTAATTACATCAAAAATGGTACAGAATCTAAAGGTATAGTAATACTTGACGAAAGGCCTGTGTACCGGTTTTGCGAAAATTGTAAACTCCCGCCACGGTAGTCTAGTAGACAAGGTACTCCGCTGCTGACCCGCAGGTCATGGGATTGAATCCCGGCTGTGGCGGCTGCATTTTCGATGGAGACCAAAATACTGTAGGCCCATGACTCAGAGTTGGGTACAGGTTAAATAACCCCAGATGGTCAAAATTTGTGGAACCCACCGCTACGGCGTCTCTCAGAATCATATGGTAGTTTCGGGACATTAAACCCCACATATCAATCAATCAATCAATCAATCAATCAATCAATCAATCAATCAATCAATCAATCAATCAATCAATCAATCAATCAATCAATCAATCAATCAATCAATCAATCAATCAATCAATCAATCGATTGATCAATCAATCAATTAACCGTACAATCAATCAATGAAAATATAGCAAACAACAAATATACCAAAACTTGTTCGCAGCATACACTTCTTTGTTTGAGTGTAGAACAAGAGACAGCGAATTCACAATACCTAGCGACTGAACAAAAAAGGTTCTTTTTGTACAGAAGTAAAAAAATATACAAATAGCTTACCTGCTAGTCATCATCATCATCATCATCATCATCATCATCATCATCAGCAGCAGCAGCAGCAGCAGCCTGACTACACCCCCTGCAGGACAAAGGCCTCTCCCATGTTTCGCCAGTCAACTCGGGCCTGTGCTTGCTGCTGCCACTTTATATCCGCAAGCTACCTAACCTCATCTGCCAACCTAACTTTCTGTCTCCCCCTAGCCTGCTTGCCTTCTCTAGGAATGCAGTCAGAGTTACCCTTAATTACCAGCGGTTATCCTGCATACGCGCTACGTGCCCGGCCATGTCCATTTCTTTTTCTCTGCTCTCCCGACTCTGCTCTCTTCTTGTGTCTTAAGGTTATTTTCCCCTCTCATTTTCCTTTCCATCGTCCGCTGCGTCGTCCTCAATTTAAGCTGAACAATCTTTTTAAGCCTCCAGGTTTAAGCCTCTGCTCCGCAGGTAAATACCGGCAAGAGTCAGCGGTTATACCTGCTAGCACATTTCATTATATACAATACTTGCACAAAAAAACAAAAGATAATAATAAAACGTTCTAGACACCAGTACTGTGCGGTCCACTGTTAGAGGGGACACTATAATGAGTGCCGTTCGTATTCCCGGCTTTCTAAAAGCAAGTGTATAAGGTGACAATGTTTATGTACAGCACTAGTGTCTCAAAATGAGTAATAACTGCGAATCACCAGTAGTCTTGTGCAAATCTAAGGCAATGTTCTCTTGCAGGAGAGTGAAAACTAAGCATACCGTGCATATAAGTGTTCCCTTTACCAGTGGACCCGTCTGTAAATATAAAGAAATGTATGACAGGTAATTGTACAGGAACTAAAAATGCATACGTATGCGCAAAATAGTAAGGAACTTTTATTTTAATTTGACAACCTGAAAGTGAGTGTGTTTTTATTAATACCCTTTTTATTTGTTTCTTGAATAGGTTTGGACAAACATCAAAGTATTAATCTTTTTTCAATTTTTAAAAAGAGACATGGTATGATATTTCATATGTTGTTTACCATAATTAATTCATGTTATTGGCACGTGTCGCTCTTGTGCACTAAAGCAGTACGTAGATTCATTTTTGGTGTTAGTAGTATATAATTTTTCACGACGTATCAATCGAAGGAATTTGAAATAGAATATTTGATCAGTACTTAACATATCACGCTTTATAAACAATCATTCGCGAGGGTTGGAAACACTGCATGCCGACCAACACACCTTGGACTACTAGCGTGTTTGTGTGACGTGAATGTGCATGCATACTTTTTTCAGGGAGACCCGGGGAGGGACGGACTTGCCGGCACGGCTGGGCAACCTGGCGCCCCTGGACATGTTTTTATGATACCAGTAAGTATGCGGGGAAGAGCACACTGACCCATTAGGATTCGAGCGTTGATGTGGCTCGAGCCTGATATACTTTTGTGGTTTAGGTAGAGTTTATTTTTTGGTGTTAGCTCAGCAGAAGGGCTTGAAAAAGCTCTCTGTTGCCCTCTCTGTTACTGCAGCAGCCCAGAGAGAAATGAAGAGGATAAGCATACTAAAACGACTTCATGGCCACGGGTTTAATTTGTGGCGTTACAAATTGACCCTACTCTACAGACGTGAAAAAAAAAAAAACTTCTTCGCTACTTAGCACGTTATCTGAACACAAAACCTGCTATGCCTTCTAAAGATATACTGAAAAAGTCAATGGCTAAAACTATGAAATTCTAAAAATATTTAGAGCGCCCTGAATTAGCTTATAGATGAGAAGGCTTAGTAGTATATGGCATTACACTGACGTGCTGACGTTGAGGAGCGTGAGAAATTCAGAGAAGAGCTTGAATTTGTAACGTGAAACTTTCTCCTGTTCCGTCAACATCAACGTAATTTGCTAAAACCTCGTGTGACGAAAACATGCTCTGCTATGTTCGTTTATATTTTGGCAGCCATACTAGCCACACTTTATTTTTATATCAGTGTGTAAAGCGGAAAAACCAATATTCATTCGTGCATGTGTCCCCCGATCAGGTGGCACCATTTCTGAGTCGTGGCGTACTACTGGAGCGGAATCGAGGCGCAAAAGCACCGTACACAGAAGTGTTTCAAAAAATTTTCAGGAACGTTTATTAGCAACAGTACTTGTTGGGGGTCACCCCAGGCGAAAAGCGGCAAAAATGCAGCTTGAATGTGCTTGGCAGCCCGTTTACACTACGCAGTGTTGGCATATATTTTTGTCCACATAGCAAGCAAATCAAGAACAAAAAATATTGGAAAAACATAAAACATACACTTTGGAAATATGAAACAGAAATGTAACTGTGCTAAAGAATAATGACGTTTGATAGTATTCAGAGATGCTTGCTGTATAAGTTCATAGCACATGTATATATTAGAAGTTTTTACATCATATTGTGAATGAAATAATAGTGGTAGAAGGTGGTAGTTCTGTGTAGTGAAATTCAGACGTAAACAAATATGCAACTTTTTTACCAATGTTGCTAAAATCAATACCCTGTTTTTTATAATTGTTCAAGAGATTCAGTACGTTGAAAGACAATAATTTTTTGTCGTAAGTTGTGCGCCATTGAGGTAACTATTTCTTGTAGCTTATGGTTCTATAGAATTGCTAATTTGTTTTTAAACGGCAGAGACTTCTTAAAAAAGCTTTTAGTAGGTTCCTTTGAGAAGAACAACGAGTATATTCGGCTGTACCGATAATTCAAAGAGACATTTATTACTTGATAGCAAAGAAAAAATTGTAGATGTGGGATTAGTATATAAAACGTTAGCGATGCATCGCAATGCTTTCTTCTGTAACGTGAGGATTCTGCGCAGATTTGTGAGCGTTGTTGTTCCCCACACAAGTGTGCAAAAGTTTACGCGAGCACTGAACAGTGTGTTATATATTTGCATTTTGATATTGCTGGGAATGATCGCGAAAGTGCTCCCGTATCTGAAGACAGTGATCTCGCGAGATAGTCAATCATCGAAAGAAGCCGGTGTGGTCGTATTTGAGAAATTTAATACGTCATAGTGAGTATGGAATCTGCATAGATAGACTACTGGCAGGGAGTTCTAAGCCCGCTAAGAGTGCAATTTATTCCGTATTATTCACTGATGCTCACTTATGACATCTCTGCGTCAGGCACCTATGGTTTCAAGATATTGCACGATGCGACTCGGGCGGCAACATGGAGAGATGACCGATCCCTTTTATTGCGGAGTACTAAGTGGGTCATTCGCACGAGGAACGAAAGAACAAAAAACTGAAGCAATTTTAAAAACTCTAAGAACTTGCGAGTGGTAACGTATATAGGGTAATCTTTGGCGCCTTCAGTAGGGTGTCATTTCAGTACCCTCTAGTGCCCTATTTCCCGCTATAAAGAAAAAGGGTGCAATACAAATGAAGAACAAGTACGCTTACAAAATTGTATCCTAGAATTGCTAATAACCATCACGTTGGTGAATCAGGTAAGCGTTTTTAATATGTGAACAAATGTGTGCTCTGTACTTCGGGATTTCATTTTTTTCTGTGCTTTCATGCACATGCGCCCTCTGCCGCATTTGCTATGTACGGTAAAGTACCTACACGTTCGCTGCGTTTTCATTTACTGCTAATAATTTTTTGGTTGTGAGAATTTTTATTTACTGACTGAACTGCGGTTATAACGCATTTAGCATTTAGCAGGTTGGCATCGATGCCACTCACACGACGGGTAAAGTGCTGCTTGTATCAAAGCAGCGGCATCTCTTCAACGTTCCTAATTATTGTCCCTTCAAACGTTTAATTTGAAATAGTGGTCTTCGGCCACATTTATTATGCGAAGTTCTTACTTTGTTTATTGCTGATGGGCTATAATCGGTGAGCCATAGTATTTATAAAGCAGCGCAAAAAGTACACGTTGACGCATGCAAAAAAAAGCATAAACACAAGACTATTTTGTTGGCGAGCCATTTGGCAGTAAAAAAAGTGAATGAAATAAAGAAAAAATTGTCGGCTACTCCTAATTTTCTTCCTACTTTCGTTTCAGTATCCGAGAGCCGGGGACAACAAAGGTCCTGACCACACCGAACCTCTGCGAGAGATGCTCAGCCAGCACATGGTCAGTTCGATGGCTGTGTTCTAGCACCAATGTTTCTCAGTGGCTCATTGCACGCTTCACATTACCAAGTATGAGCTAATTATTTTCAGATGGCAATGAGGGGTGCCCCTGGACCTATGGGGTTGACTGGCCTACATGGACCTGTGGTGTGTATGCCCTAACATCTACACTTTTTCCATCAATGCTAAAACTGAGCGTGACCTACTACATATAAAAAGCCCCTGTTTGGCATCTTAATTTCTGGCCATTGAAGTAATTATTTTATGATGTACAAACGACAACCGTAAAATGAAAAGCGTGGACGTAAATTCATAATCTTTTGTTAAGTAAAAGTCACAGCTTTGCCGCAAAAGTGAAGCAATGAATGCGATAGGAACAAAATGAAACGTCACGCGATAAATGGCGAGCTGATTGAAACAAGCCCCACGTTGCTCACGCACTAATGACGCACGAAACATACAGGTACAGAAGAACGTGCGTAAGTGTCTTAATAGGTGACCAGTAAAAGAGCGAGGGATTGTGGGATGCACCGTCTGCTATCGGCTTCCGGTTCGAGAAGAGTAGACGACGGTGAACCGCTTCGCCGCAAGCCTCAGATTATTCGGGATTCGCGCACGCGGTAGCCCATTTATCTTCGTTCTGATAAACCATGGTCAGTAGTTCAGCTGTTGGCTGCTCCAACTTGAGCGTGAACGCATGTATCAATTTCCATGAAACGAAGAAAAAAATTTGAGGTGTGCTGCTGATGTGAAGAGAGCCACCACGCTTTTGAGTACGGAACGTTGAAGCCAGAGTGTGCGAAAACCATTTTATCACAGATACGTGTGTATTCCACACTAAAAAAGCTTGAACGTGAATTTGCCGCGAATATTATATTGGGAAATGTATTGTAGCGTAGACGCTCCTAGCAAAAATATTATGGGAACACGCGGGTGAAATCTACCTTTCATACGAGATGAGCGCCGGCCACTGCACCCATACATATGACAAAAAAGGCAAAAGCTTCACTCAAGAGTAAGTTTACACGAAGCGCTGGACGAGTGCATTTGCGTTCATTTTCGTCAAAGTGTGCGCTAAAACGGCACTCAAAGGAAGAAGTGCGTTAAACAAGCGCAGGGTTTAGATTATTCGGCGCCGTCTATGTCTGACTGTATTGTCTATGTGCTGCCGTGCCGCGCAACGTGATCAGGATCAGAGTTTAAATGAGCATCTGGCTTCGAATAATAAATGCATCCTATAGAGCGCAGAAGGCGAGAAAAAAATCTCAATGCGCTCAGTAAGTGCTGCGCTTCATGCCGTTGACCGACGATGTCGGCCGGAGCAGCGACCCCGAAATGATGAAAACTGTTTTCTGTATCGACTTATCTGCTAGCCAAACGGACAGTACCCCCGAGCAGCATAAAAGCATTGTAGATCAGTTTAGTGCGATAAGTTTCCTTACAGTTCATGGCTTTCGTAGCTTGTCACCATCCCAGTCACGGTTAGCAAAAACAAAAAAACCAACTTCTAAAGCACTGACATCACACGGAGTGGTGTTTTTTTTTTTCGGTGGAGCGGTATGAAATGCGCGTGCCACTGCTAACCCGCGTGGTGCGTCGAACCGGAAGCCGTCGCATCCCACAGTTCCCTGCGATGGCCCATATTTCCGGTCACCTATTGTTACTTCACTGTGTCTGAAGAGCGCACCCTTTTCGCAAACGGAGACTGTGCAGCGAGTGCAGTAAACCTTGTGCGTCCGGTAACTACAACACAGTCCTTCAGCTGAAAGCCTAAGATAAGCGCGCGCATGCATGAGCGTCTACCCCTCCCCCCTCCCCATGCACCGCGGAGCAAAGTACGCATGGTAAATGAGCCATGAGCGCGCGTCGCCGCGTCGTGACGATCTGGCGATGCTAAAACCCCTTGATTTTGGGAAAGTAACGACACTCTCCCCCACGCACGCGTTTCCTCCTCGATTCTCCTCGCCCGCTTGCCGTACATGTGGCACGCGGCGCCTTTATCGCCGACGCTCCCGCAGGCGCACCACAGAATTCAATGAAGGTGGGTCATTCGCAGCATCTTGCGTGCCACAATAGTGCTGAACGTTTGTGCTAAAAAGTGGTAATAAAACTAACAACACATAGGCAACCGTTTATTAAAAAATTAGCCTCTTCCAAAAATTATGTAAATGGGGGCATGCTAATTGAATAAAAGTTTTTGTGGGGAGTTCTACGATGGGGATGTGTTTCTGCGGCATATTAACGTGCTGTACACTTGCATCTGAAATAGTTGCGCTTGTGGCATGTCCTTCTCTGCTCGGATTTTCTTTTTTCTTGCTTGTGCGCCAGTATACGAACAGGTACTTACAGCGTCTCATATTGCAATGACTTCGTGAAAGGTGGATCCTTTAGCCATGTGTTAATCTACTCGGTGTGAAAGTAGCTTTGCGCAGTGGTTTCCGAACGGAAGAAGGCTTTTGAGCAATGTTAATAGGATTAAGTGTCACCAACAGTGACTCATCTACCACAATAGCAGAAACATAAGAAATTGATTAAATATAACTGTGTTTTGACGTTGTCAGAAAAACTAGCGATAGCATTACCTGTGAGAGGGGAAACTCTGCACACGGAAGCTCATCATAATTTGCGCGTCGAGAGTGACCTAAATACACCATCCGAACTGACTGATCCCAGTTAGAAGTACAAATTTGAGACTGGTATAAAAGATCTAATTTCTTATTGGTGAATGGAAAACATGCATACGCGACCAAAACGATTGCGGCTACGGTCTCCTACAAAATGGCTGACTTTAGATATCACTATTCTATGTTTTTTTTTCATTGCGCCTCTGTGTTTCTTTCCTTCTTTCAATGAACCGCATCTCTTTCATATATTTTGTGTGTCAATACCCCCCTCCGCCCAAAAATAAAAAACAAAATAAATGCCCTTACGGACACGAGCGCCTATTAGTGTCATCTACATTCATTCATTTGTTTTCTCCAACAAACGTTCTCGTAAACGAATCCTAACAGTCACAAAAAGCGTGATCGAGAAGCTGTGTCATCCCACGTAATTGTTTGCAGCGAAAGCAGACTACAGTTGTGCATTTTTGACGATTGCTGAAGTTGGTGCCAGATGATGAAGTATGAGCTCAATATTGTTGTTTAATTTAATTATTATTTTAGACATACCGCAGGCCAGCGTTTTTGTCTAGGCAGGATGGCCATAAGAAAAATGAAGTGATTTGTAACAGCAAAAAAAAAAGAAACTTGTATTCATATGCTAACAGAGACCACATGTCTGTAAAACAGCAACAAAATTTATAACTCATTTGCACACTCTAATCTGCAAGTAAATAACTTTGCAGCGATATGGCAAAATTGTCCGCCGAAAAAATGTCATGAGGCAGTGAATTCCAGTCATCAACTGTTGTGGGAAAATAACTATTTGTAGGCACTACTGCTTGGTGCAAATATGGTTGCCAAGGATCGATCATGTTTACGGCGGGTATTCCTAGCAGTGGCTGGCTGAACGCAACAAGGTACATTTAGGACAACTTTCCCTGACATAAATTTGTAGAAGTACGCTAAACAATTAAACTTTTTTCTTGTTTCAAACGAAAAAATTCAGCATACTGATGACAACTCCAGTTTGAAGCAATGCACAAATAGCCGAGAAAAAAATCGCAGCATATTTACGAAGTCAATGATGACGAGTGGGGCGAAGCGTGCGGATGGACTGATGGACACAAGGACGAATGTACACACCGACGGAAAGACGCAAGGAGGGACGGAGGCACAGACGCATGGACGGACTGATGGACACTTCGTCTTACTCATCATTATTCACTCCATGGAAACGCTGTGACACCGTTTTTATTGACATCCAATGCAATGCAACTGGCTAGTACAACAACACGCTGTGACATACGACCCATGGCGTAAGAAGCTTCGCCCCTAAAAAACACATATGTTGATGAGCAGGCCGAAACAACATTTCAAATGCAGCATTCGGCGATGCTTTGATACGGGCAATAAGAAAGGTGCCTTACCTTGCAGATAACACCGTTCTTTGTTGGAAGGAAGTTTTTTCGGCCGATGTTGTACAGCCACTGCTGTTTGCGCAAGCCATCGCTTTTACCGGGGGGTATCCTAAAAAGTGCGTTACCATTTTCACTGTGGTTCTTGCAGTCATAGGCGCAACAGCACTGCATAGCGCCCGAACAAAGCACAGAAAACAAAGTGCGGGCTACGTTTGTTATGCGGAGCATCGGCGAAAATTGGCGTTACCAAAAAAGAAAAAAAAACACAAACAAAGCGCAAGATCCACGCGTATCTAAGGGCAACCACGAAGTGGACCAATCATCGTGCAGTGTCGGAGAGCGGAAGGACGCGAAGGGGGCGGGGAGAGAGAGAGGAGGTGAAGGGCGCGGCAATGAGTACAGTGGATGGTGGTACTTTCTCAAGATCAAGGGGCTTTAAGCGACGCGTGCTCATTGCGCCATCTTCCTGCTAATTCTAAAAACACGATAGTTCCCCCGAGAAGGGCATCGCCAGCGATAAGTGGTAAATTTAAATAGCTCGGCGTTTCAGAGCTGAAGGAGATGCTTCTTCGTGGCTCAGTGGCTAACGCCACGCACTCACTAGCATGTGATCGGATGTTCGATTTCACGCGCCGTAGTCTTTTTCCGGATTATTTTTCTTCCTCGTGTTTTCACACATTTATACAGTAGACTCGCGATAATTCAAACTCTGATAATTCATAATTTTGGTTAATTAAACGAAAATCAAATTTCAGTTAGCCTTTTCTTTTTTCAATGTATTTAAATGCTTCTTACTTCAAACTCCATAATTCGGCTAATTCATAATTTTCACGGTTATATACCAGATAATAACTGCTGCTTTCCCACTACTATTTAAAAATTTTCGTGCTTGTATAATCATTTAAGCGTAAAAAAGAAAAAAAGGTGCCTCTGGAATTCAAGGCAAAAGGCTATGCTGGTAAACAAATGTTTGAAACGAAGCACACGCATGGTAAACCGTGATGCTTCTCAACTGGTATAGAGAGATTTGTGCTGAAGGCACATATAGCAAAGAAGCAGCTGGAAATTAGCGATTTCTTTAAAAGGTCCGATCAGTAGTAAGTGACCGATAAACTTGTGGACCTTA